CCATAATAGATAATGTAGCAAAAATGTGTGAAATATTAAGTGCTGTTAATATTCGAATTTCTTTTCCTATCTGTGTGGATAACACATAGTAGACTACGAACAATGTGTTTCCTCTACAGTTTTACTAAACAGAAACATTGATTTTCTATTACAAACTTTGTTCGGCATTTTTTTTCTACACGAGTTTTCCAGATTTCTCAGCCATTTTAAACACTGGAAAGAAGAAAAAATTGTGCTCCGTCACTGATCTTTTTGCGAAAAGAAATATTTCATAGAACAAACCTCGACGTGCATATGTGTTGTCTTTAGTGATGAAAACATTACTGAATTTCTAGAAGAAACTTTTTAATTAATACACAACAGAATTTTACCGAATCAGTTTCTATTTTAGAAAGACCTCTTCTGTGTGTGACTCATGAGAATATGCACTGCGTCAATTATATCCTATGACCATGGGAAAATTTTTCACGTATAGAAAACCTAAGGAACTTTATTCAGACTATGCTGCAACACAGCACTGCAGTGAGTTCACAATATATTTTCAATTAAGGAACACATTTTTCAGTAGACTGTGGTGTCCTATTCGGTATTTTTCTAATTCGACAGTGGTATGTCGCTGTGACGACGGAAGAAAAATATTGTTCAGATTGAACACAGACTTTCATGTGAACACAAATACTAAAAAGATTGATTATCAAAGAATCTTCTAATACGTCGAAAGCTTTACCATTAGAATAGTCTCATATTTTTTATCAAATGAAAAAACCAAATAGTTCCAATTATTAAAACCTTAGTATAAGACAATATCATTATTGCATATCAAATTCCTGGATGATGCATCAAAATATACAGACACATCAATGGATATGACTCTTATATGTATCATTGCAGCATGCGATATTAGTTTTAAAACTGTACAGGATGAAAGAAAATAAAATTAAACACTTTATATTTACCAAAGCATGATTAAAAAGAAAGAAATTTTTCAAAAAAAAAACCAAAACAAAAAGTAAATATCTTTTTACAGTGGCAAATTATGGAAAAACATATCGTAAAAAAATTTACTCTAAAACATTTATTTTTTATCATTATATTTTTTGCCATACAGCATTATATCCCATGATGGTCTATCCGGATTTTTTGATTCAACTTCTATTCGATTAGGTTCAAGTAATTGTTCACGACCATCAAGTACATCAACAGCTAAACGTGCAACATGTAATGTAATAGTTACAGGATGTTTCTCTGGTGAATTAGCCCATTCATCAAGTGACATCCATTTACAAGCAGCTATTTCACGTGGATCATAATTTATTTCTTGATCTTCTTCATTTTCATTCAGTGACATTAGAC